TTTTTTTTTATTACAGGCCATTAATTGAAAATTAAAACCTATTCATTTTTTTTCATCAGCAGCAAATCAGTATCCTCCATCTCGACGTTATACGGTAAACGGTTATCCTTGCAAAAATGGCACCGTCTGTCAACGAAATGAAATCAATGGATTCTGGTCTTGTGAAATAGAAAACGAATACGGTAGCTGGGATTATTGCTGCGAGCCTAGCCATCAGTGTGGATTTTCACAAGGATATCATTACCCTTGGTACAACTAACATCAATCGAGTTAACAGTTCTGTTTAATTAATTAATCGATCTTGCAGGTGTTACGTGGGTCCTAGCGAAGATCAGTGGAGGCCTTGTAGCGAAACATATTATCCGTATCATTTAGCAACAGATCATTCAACATATCGCCAATCCTCATTATACACAGCTCGTCATTGGCCAGTAATTTACTTTCACGAAACGTCACCGCCAAATTGTTCTACCAATAATCCTGACGCTAAGGATTCATGGAAACTACAGTGAAAGTGAATCTTTCAATAAAAGGGATCTATCCTCTGCCATTTTCGCACACATGTACAATATTTCTCTTTTTATATTATTCTTCGCATAAACGATAACAATTATTTCCTTCCCGAATAAACAATTCGAATTAATAGATATTACGAATATTATATATTTCCATCTAATATAATAATGTAATAATATTTAATTAATAAGTATAATATTTAATTAATAAATGAATAATTACGGAATACATAACACGTTTATGTTTGTTAGAATGATATAACAGACTTACAAAAAATCCATGGTACGTCGTTAAATGATTGTCGAATCATCTGTCCAGATAGATAAGCTTAATCAATTTGAAAGAAAATAACTAAAATATTTCACATGACTTGAGCAAATTCTACTATTTTTTTATATTATAAGTAATATCGTAAGCACAATTGAAATTAATTATACAAATCATATTTAAGTAATAAATTTACTAATAAATTTATTTAAAATTTGCTTGACTTGATGTAACGAATATGTACAAACTTAACATAGCAGATATATACATACCATGAATTAAAGGCACATACATACTTCGTTCATTATAGAGGCCACTTGTGTAGCTTGTAGCTTGTAGCTGTATATTTTCACATATATTTTCATTGTTGTTCTTTTATCCATTATCTTGTTATCATTATGTAATTGTTATCTAAATCATCATTGTGTTATCACTTTTGTCACTGAACTAGCACTTAATGTGCAGTGCTGTGCATCATTGCTATTAGTTTCATTATGGCGGCGTCACCGGCGTCGCCATGTTACCATCATAGTTCATTTTTGAGTCGATCGGTACAATCACACAGAAGGAGTTCTATGGACAGGAAAATCAACAACGATTCACCGATTATTTAAATACGAAACCGATTTTAGTTCGAAAAAGTGTAAATGTATCGTTAATGTCGCTTGCAGAGGACAGATAACAACATACAGTGGAATTTTACTTGAGTTAAATGTATGTTACTTTCTGTAGGCAGCTTCGTATACTATTGAGAGATTATTCATATCAGAAAAATGCCCAAAACTCGGCTCATTACACGTTCAGTAACGAACAGCCGTCCACCTCATATGACTTTAAATCTAGAGTGTTCAGAAGAGCCTCTCAGCAAAGCACAGTTAGTGTTACGATTGGAACTCAAAGAAAATTATGACAGAGTATGTTATTTTGTATTCTTTCAAAATCCTTTTGTGACATTTAACTTCACATGATGGATTAAAATTTCACCTAATATTTGCTCATTTGTGTATTTTCAGGTGGCTGCTTCTCTAGAAGAATTGGTTAAAGACCATGGAGGTAAATTGGTATGCCAAGCAGGCAATGTCAACGGTTATCAATACACATTGTAGGTATTACTTTCTACGTAGATGTTATCTTTTTGCAATTGCTGATTTTTAGCAAACTCAGTGTTTGTATCTTCTCGTATACCAGGCCTTCAAATTCTGCACAAGCTCCAGTTAAAAGTAATTCTCAACCTATTATAAATGTAGTAAGTATTATGGGTATTATAAGTAATATATATACCATGCAATTAATGTTGTCACGTTTTTAAAAAAGTGATGTTGGTTACAGAATCAAAATAAGAATAAATCTATTAAATTGAATGTAGTAAATAATGCAAATGGATCCCAGGGTAACATACAACTGGTTGTGGATTCTCGAATGGGAGTTATTCTTGGACCTGTTGCTCAACCTCAAGGTAAAAAATTGGATTATTTTTTCATTTATTTCTGATTAATTGTTGTGCATTTGTATTAACTGGTCAATAGTAACATATAATAAATTTTAGGCTCTGCTATGACAAATGTTTCATCAAATTCAGTCTCTACTTCAGCTACACCAGGTTCGACATCTATATCTACAGTTTCACCTATATCTACAGCTACACACTCTCAAACGGAAAATGTATAAAGTTTTTTCATCTTTTTATAAAGCTCTAAGAAAGCTTACATGTTTTCATTGTTTATTTTTCTTTCAGTACAAATACACTCGTTCTGGACGCAGAACAAAAGTGCTTCAAGTACAACAATCTGACATAATAGAGGAAGTATGTTACGCGTAAATATCGTTTCACTTAAAGTTTTTTTTGTTCTTTTTGTTGAACTGATCCCATCTTACTCTATAGCCCACATTAATTCCTCGTGGAAGACAGAAATTGGGATCTTCTACACATGTTGTTACACCAAGTAAGTTCTATGTGATCACTTTTAAATATATATTCGATAATGACAACATAGGTTAGCAATATATATATTTATCTAAATTGAATTCAATATTTTAGCTACGACCAGTCCACAAGGTGTTACCAATCTCAGAATAAAAACAGTAAGTAAACAACAGATTACATCAACGGTGTCGTCAACATCGGCAACCATAAATACGACTACAGGAACGATACCGCCAACGGTAACGGTGACGGCAACGGCAACAAGACTGGCTATTACAAAACCAACTGAGCATACAAGTATTGGTGGAATATCGATTGGAAGTAAAAATTCAGGTTAGAAGAAGAATCTATCCGGGATTAAACGCATTATGATTGTCATGTTGACAATTAGCCGGGAGGTCGAATATTTAGCGCTAGAGATACATAAATTCTACTTGCAGTCATTGTAATCAAATAGGAGTTTTCGGTTTTAATTCCAATAACCTTTCAATTTAGCTTGCGACCAAATTGACGAATCGAAGAAGAATCTTCCAGATGGAAGGGAAGTAACTTTTAACAAAATAAACGGAGGCAGAACATATCCTTCGTTGGTCGTCGTACCTAGACCAAATCTTCGTACAAAGGATATCGCGCCACAAATAGCTCAAAAAGAAAGATCGGAGTTAGGTACCTATTAACATGGGTGTGATTATCGGTTACCACCCTTTTCTTTATATAAATTATTAATGTACGTTTCAGATATGAAAGTCAAGAGCGTACTCATGTTCTCGGCTACAAAGTTTGCTGAATGGTTGATACAGCAGGGGTTGGTAAAGTCTGAACAGTATTGCATGCAACATAGTAATAATTATCAAAGGACTAAGTTGAAATTAGGAATGTATAGTGATCAAGGTACATTTCCATATTCGGGAGGATACGTTTGGATTTCAAGTTGTTGTCCAGATCGTTTTGTTTCCGTGTTTTCCGGTTCAATTTTCCAGGGTGCTGCTTACACACCTACCGTTCTTTTAAAATTAATTTATCATTGGGCATGCCAAACAAACATTCAAAATGTTATCTCTTGGGTGAAAGTATCTAATTTATATGTAAAAAATTTTTATACGCATTTACGTAGTGTTTGTACTGCCGCAATTTGGGATAAAACTCGTAAAATGGGAGGTAAAAACTTCGTGATACAAATTGGTGTAATTAGTTTGGGTACAACGTCGCAGGACGGAAACTTACGACAAGTCAAAGTCGAAGTGCTTGGTGTATTAGATTATACTACACTTGATTTAAGATTAAGAGCATGCGATCCAGTGCAGGATGGTGATAGGGCATATAAGCGACGATTCAATAATATTTTACAACCACTGAAAGAATGGGTGCACACCGATTCGAAAATCATGACTGACTTTTCCGTTGATAAAAGTACACTTGAAGAAATGGGTTTTAATAATGTAATACAATCAGCATTTTCTGAACAAAGTCCTCGAAATTTCATGAGCAACTATCACATTATGGAATATTTAAGGAAAATTGTCCCAAGAATGTTTCAAAATACTCTTAGTTTACTTAGTAAACAAATGATACAACAATTTTTGGACGAATTAGTATGGAGAGAAATGTACGGAGCGACTGCCGCTCGAGCATTTGATAACATTATCGGACATATCGCAGAACAAACTAGAATCGAATCAAACGAAAGTCTCTTGGATCGTTTGGCTAAGATAGGTGCTAATCCTTTTCATAATTGGTCTTACTCAAATGCGAATTCGTCACCGCTCATGACACTGAATAAAGAAGAAATCTTTTCGGACTGCAAAGTTCTGATTCCAGGTAGTAGCAACATAAAACAGCAACAAGAAACGTTGCCATCCGTTCAAATAACGAAACCTGGCCCAAGAAGAGGACGAAAGAGAAATCCAACAACAACGATTAGCCCAGAACCCGAATTGAAAAAAGCTAACTATGAATCAAAGAGTATCAGAGAGAAAGATAAGGAAAGTAAAAACGATCAGATACAATTACAAGAATTTTATTATGCTACTATGGAAGGCGATAAAACTCTTCTTATAAAGGAGCATAAAAGTTCTTTATATTTTAAATGCTTTCTCTGTGCAACAATATTGCGTTCAAATACAGATGTAATGGAACACACTATTGGTCATGTACCACCACAAGTACCCGGACAGTCACATTCTCCAGTGTGCCGATACTGTTGTACTGCATTTTCATCTCAACATCAAATGGTTACACACGTCACAGAATCACACAGCAATTTCGGCCACTCTGACAGTGATATGGTTGTCTGCGCCATTTGTGAACAAAAATTCGGTAACAGTGGTCTTCTAATTAATCACTTGTCATCAGTGCACTGTCCTTCGGAGATGCCTTACCGATGCGAAACTTGCGGTTATCGTACTTCCAGTCATAAAGACGCTATTGATCATTATTATCGTGCTCACGAAAAAGGTGAGGGATTACAGTGTCCTTACTGTTTGAAAATAATAAATTTCGCAAGAGAAAGTAATCCCAACGTTACCAGCGTTCATGCATATTTGTTACATATGCAAAGACATGTTGTGAGAAGGGAACAAGGACGAGGAAATAAATGTTCCAGATGTTGTCTTTGGTTCAATCAGAAAAGTTCATTGAAAATTCATCAAAGGGAACTGCATGATTCTGTATCCGATTCAAAGGTTATTCCTTATTCAACTGGTAGTAATGGAATAATGATTCCAAAACAACGGTTTCAAACTAGGCGGTTTGAAATTGATAGTCCAGTTACAGAATTGCCACGCGATGAGAGAGTTAAAAAATGGGTTACTGGTCCAATTACAGTGAATGTTTCAATTGAACATCTATCCTGTAAAGAATGCGAAGAAGATATAGATGAAGAAAATCATTATCCAGGTGAACAAATATGCCAACAATGTCGCTATATAACTTGTTGTTGGCGTGCGTTTAAAGAACATCAACAACAAATTCATAATGAACGACCTATGACCAGTTTGGTAGTTCCTTCTCCTCTCATTAATATTCCATTAGATAAAAAGATGCAATGTTCATGTGGTTATGCGACAACCGACGGAAATCAATTAGCTGCACATTTGATTAAATGTAAAAAAGTATCTGTCTATCCAATTGAAGATACAGCACCGTCCGGAATGTTAAACAGTTTGGGTCTTGTACCAAAAAATAGCTCAGATGAAGTTGACATCGATGTCAAAAGGACTAATTTACGTTGAACGTATGATAAAGTTAAGTACAAGTTTTTAAACTGCGTTAGACATCGTGAATGATAAATTGTGTAACTGTTTAGAAAAATAGAATGATTCGAAATGTCGGAAGAAACAGTAAGTTACATTTGTGTAATTACAATAGACACAACTTAATTCGACAAGAATGCTATAATAGAATGGGAGTAACTCTTATAAACCGAATCGACTGTCTGTGTCATCGAACATTTGTTTTCATTTTTATTACCTACTTTCGCATTGTCCATGCGCATATATGATGTACAATCGCAAATAAAATTTTCATCCATCATATTATTAGTGAAGATTTTTAATAAATGTATAATTTAAATAATTAATAAAATCAACTTTGCACGCTACGTCGTTTGAAAATATTGCCATAATAATTATATATTCTTCTAAAAAATTATGTTGTACGGATATTATTGATATGTTTATATTGCTGAGTTGTACCTTTATATGAAATAAATCGTTATTGCATGAAAAGATATTACTAGTTTGAAACATGTATCTGAATAATAATTATGTATGTATTTAAGTAAGTACATACAATAGTCTACAACTCGAAACTTCATCGTTGTAACTGGAAAGATATTAAGAACTTATTCCTCCAACTTTCTAGACTTTCAATAGGTTTTGAGTTAGAGTGAAAAGCGTTTAATGCGTGTAAGATACAAAGAAAAGGAAATATACAATTTGATATATGTAAATACATATTTAATGTGATTCAAGATTCGAAGTGATCATAATAGTCGGTAATAAGAATTGCTGATGGGGATATGGAATTTTTTTTTAAAAACTCTACTGTTATGTGCGTGTGTGTGCATACAAAAGTACAGATACAGTATACATTGGATAAGTCCCCGAAAATCGAGATCCAAAGCGAAATGCTTAATTCTATTTGAATGTAAGAAAGAACAAAGCGAACGAAATTGATGATACAATATTAATGCAACAATAAAATTTTTATTTTTAATTTTTATTTAATAAAACTTCTACCAATGTAACCGTAAGACTTCCCTGACTAAAACAAGACCAAACATGAAATAATGTAGAATATATTTGCTTATTTCTTTTATTTCACAAACATACTGTTAAAATTTTAATTTAAACAGAAAAATCTCATAGATACGTCAGTAAAAGTTTAATTTTTAAAAATCTAGAAATAAAAAAGTTTCATAATTGAATTAGTGTCGTTTCATTTGTATGTGCAATTAGATCAAGTTAACATTACTCAATCGATATATTAAATCGCGAGTATTTATAGTATTACGAAGAGGTACCACCAAGTATTTATCCAAAGTTTATTGTATATGTATATATAAAAGTTCATCCTTTCTTCAATTCATCATTTTGACATAGAATAAAATACAAAATTTATGTATTTTTCTAAAGTTTTATTTAGCAAGAGTGTTTTCGGTAATTCCACAATAATAAATGTAGCATACATTTTCATGTCATCACTGTATCGATACAGTATACAATACTAGTTAATAGAACGCGGAGAGTTTTATTCTCAATTGAAAAGACCGAGGTGAATTGAAAATTATTTGCGTTAACGTATAATAATTCATTATTCTGTACTTATCTATAATCCTAGCAAGCTATTAACACTTTTTTTTTTGTCATTTAACTGTCATCCAGTCAACACTAAAGAACGTATTTACTAAAACAAACTCTGCAATGTTAATTGATCTGGATCGTTTAATATCAAAGATTATAATTATAATCATGATTTTCATTAATACCATTATCATTATTTGTGTCTAAACAATTAAAAAAATATCGACCTAGTTACGATTATAACGACTGCTATCAGTGTATAATTGATTTTTCAAGTCTGTACGTAAATGTTTGCGAATTCTATTAAAAATATATAATGATATTAAAGTTTCATATTCACAAGTTGATGCTTTATTTGAACTAACCTTTATTTAAAAAAAGTAATGGATTGTATACATCAAGTAAAAAAAAAAAACAAAAAATAATTATTTGAAACAAGCAAACACTGATTGCGCATCGTTATACGTATATAATATTTGTATGTAGAATGCGTATAATACTTATAAAATGATTAAAAACATGTATAGTAATACAGAATAAACCGCGGTAAAACCCAACTTGATACAATTAACATTGAGATTTATTAGTAGTAAATTTCTTGTATAATTTGACGTTTCATAGGTTTATATAATTTTTAAGCCTTGATATCGTCAAATTTTTTACGTGGGGAGCTTCGTCAGCTGTTTACATGCCCTTAACACTGTCTTCAAGAGAATGAATCGACATTTCCGCCCACAGCCTGTTATGTTGGCGATCTACATATACCCGACTATCAGTTTCGGTTTGTTCTTTATTTTTTCGTACCTCTCCATATATCTTCATGTGTCTCTTTCTCTCTCTCATACACACTCATTTTCTCCATTTCTCTTTATATATATATGTATATATGTATATATGCATGTACGTATACATATAGATATTTCCCTTAAATTTAACGCCAAGGTTTATAGTAATGAAAATGTTACTTCTGACATATTTTACATACTTTACATCTTCCGAATTTATCAACTTTTAATTTATTTTACGATCATAGCGAGCTGTAGATCAAAATTTTGAATTTCTATATATTTTTTTCTTTTTTTTAAATGAAATATTTAAATTTATGAATTTTCTTAGTAGTAAATATAACGTAAACCAGAAAAGAAATTAAAAAGAAAAGATAACTTTATCTACTGTTCAGGGCCCTCGGATTGTAATTTCTTTTTCATGCCGATGATCGAAGAACATTTTCCATTCGTGCGTTTGCCCCTGTAATTGAGAAAAAGAAAAACAAGAAAAAGAATAAAAAAAAAATGACAGAAGTTACTTGCAAAATAACAAAGCATAGGAAAAAAATAGGTAATCTTTGTGTGAAAATAAAAATAAAAAAAAAAAATACCTGTGCGTTAAATTTGAAAGAGAAGTCGAGCTTCTGGTTGATTACTCGATGACATAGAGCATGTAGAGATTGCCAGCATCACTGCCTGGTGGTACCAAGGAGTGAGTCGGCGGTAGAACACTGAAGCCCAAAAACATGAAGGTACGAACCAGCATTGCTAGACCATAACAACAAAGTGTTTTAGACGAAAAATCTTTCTCCTTGTAATCATTTTCATTGGACTCAAAGAACGGTTGACGACAAGTACCTCGATCCGTTCTGTCTTTACGCAGACAAATGATGATATTTTTACATCGCAATGTTTCTTCAGCGTATTCCAAGAGAGAGACGAAACCTTCTTTTGAACCTTCTGGTAAAAGGCAGCTTGGCACGCGAATGTAGAGACAACGACGCCATACGACTGTTTCCCACTCGACGGATGTACTCTCCGTCAAATGCAAAGTAAATGTCAAGCGTAATGATTCGCTATTTCGCACGGCTTTTAATAATTCATCCTCCTAGAAGACATAGAATTATGTATATAAAGTTTGCAACTATAATTATTTATAATTAACATTACAATGACATTATAAAAACTACCTTACGGTCTTTTATATTTAATTCGATATTATAGAATAACATGTAGAAAAATATTCATCGAACATAATAATCACAAGTACATACTTGTACAGTATGGGAGCTCACAGAGAGCTGACTCTGCTTGATCCCCACGCCGCGGCTCTCTGTGTTGACTGTAGATACAGACAATGCGGCATGGGGCACATCAGGACCACCACAGAGGCCCCACGCCCAACGTTATACAATAATGTTGTTGAAGCCTAGAGCCTTCTTCTAAACTTTCATCCATATACTTGCTTGACATGTCACTGTAATTCCATTTTGTTAATTAACATTTTTCGTTCGTAAGGTTAATATTAATTACAAAGCTTTGTTCATTAAATCTTATCGCTTGCAAGATTTAATTATGACTCTTCTTCGATATAATTTTACTACAATAATCTGATCGAACTAAATATACTTCTAAGTATTTTATCTTTCCACGTGTGTGTTCATTTTATTTCATAACGTTTCGGAAAGATAAAAATCGTTTCTTGGAATTTCATACATGCGTGAACGTGCCTGAATACGCGTGAACATGAATTTA